GATGTTTCAGATATAAGATGATAAGATTATTCTTATGACCACGTGCTGGACTTGAATTTGAATAAAAACACGTGACACGAAGAGTTTGCAATTGCCGCAAAGAAAGCTGATTTGAAATAGTAAGGAAATAATAAAGAAGGATTGACTCACTCTGATTGTAGAACCACTATGTTGCTTCGATAAAACTGGGATGGTTCGGCTAGACGCACTTCAATGGACGTTTGAATCCGGCTCGAAGGACCAAAATGTGCGCGCTTGCAACCCTTTTTAACCCAATATTTGCGGTCGGTTGTCGTTTACGCTGAAGTGTATTGCGCTGGAGGGGACTGTATCTATTTTCTTAGAACACTTGCAAGTTTCTTCACAGGATTGGAATAAAACGTTACAAGGACAGTAAACTAAACTTTATGGTTCTAGAACTTTCGAATGAGTGCGCTCTTACGGATTCAGGCTTCAGATCCGCCAGAAGAGTAGTGGTTAAGGGCCGTCTGACGGATTTACAAAGTAAAGCCTGAACCACGTAACAAAGGCGTTTTGGATAAGGATGGGCGCAAACACATTCAGTGCCTTGGAAAAATCCATTCCGACTGGACTATCGTGCTTTAAGCTATTCGGAGTTGCAAGATATAATTGTTACTTATAATGATTTTAAATTAATATTTTTAATTTGCTAAACCTGGATTTTTTTAGAATTTGGCCAACCTGCCATAGGCGATGAAGAGTTGTGGCAGCTGAACTAAAGTTATCTCCGTTATCGACGCAAGACATTTGATGGGTGTTAATAAAGTCTTAAAGGTATTGTCTGGTTTTAACAAGGTTACCTCTAGGATTTGGTATTTGTTGTAAATGGATTGAAATATAAATTTGAAAAAACATAATTACAACAGTGAAAAACCATCACTGGAAATCTGTTTTATTTTCCTACTACCTTTGTTTCTCATCCTTGATCAAATAATACAGCAAATTCAGTGTTTGACTGAGGACATAAAAATCATGAGTTGGATGTCCATACTATTTGGAAAGGTTGAATGGAGGATTATCGTTTGAAGGTAGTAATGATAAATTTTGACTTTCGTCTCTATTTGGTTTTAAGGAGGTCTCATTGATATTATTTGGAAATAGTACTGTTTCAGTTTCCGAAATGCTATTTATTAAGTGCGTCATATTTACTGGAAAATTCCCTTCACCTTTACATCTAATATAATGTAAACTTCCAACCTTGTGCTGTCAGATA